TGCATCTGGAAATTTTCTGAGGACAGAACAGTGAGAAGTGGAACAAAAGTCACCCACAAAGATGTGAACGAGCTGGCTGCATGAACACAGGCAGCAGAAAGGGATGTGGAAACATGACTGCAGCTCATAATCCTCTGGTTTGGGGGCACTTATGTAATCACTCATTACTGGGGCCAGCAACTTCCAGGAGTGGGAACTCAGCAGCAGCCTGAGGCACTTGAAAGGGAACAGGAAAGACAGTCTCAGATGATCCCTGAGGTCTCTGAGTGAGAATGCACACGAGATGTGGGACCTGACCAAGAGGGAGACTTTCTTTTCAAAAGGCAGATACGGAGAAAGTCCAGGGAAGTCTCACACAGCGTGGTTGGTGTGGTTGTTAGATAAAGGGATAATGCAGACCCAAATGTCTGGCTGGATGGTGCAATTAGGGGTAAGGTTAAGGTCTCCAGGTGCCCACCAGACACCAGTGGTCCTATACTGCTGTCAAGTATAAAAGGAGGAAAGAGAGAAAAAATTAAACTGATGACATGGGGAAGTTTTAGGACGAACACAGTGACTGAAGGTGCTTATCTGCTTTGGATGAGGCTTTTTGTGCCATTTTGTGTGGCAACGACTGCGGTTCCTACCCTGAGTGCATTGTTACAGGCATTGACATGTTGGCTGCTCTGGTACAGAACATCACTGCTGCCTGAGAGGCTCTGCCCCTCACAGCCAAGAATTTAAGCTATAACAATGGGACATATCCACTCCTGCCTGTCACCTAAGCTACCCAAGTCCCAGTGGGTTATTCAACAAAAGCCATACTGCATAGTGAGTGCAGAATTGCACATTGCTTTGTTAATTCTGGATTCGATACAAAACATTCTATTGCAATTTAACAGCCCAATTTGACTGGTCAAAAAGGCCTCAGGGCATGAAGACTAACAGTGGACTGTTGCAGGCTGAATGCCAAGGCCACTTGGCATTTCTTGGTTTACAGATGGCTCTGGAAAACTACAAGCAGATGGGGTCTCTTGTGGTTTCCCAGATGTAATTTACAGATGGCCAGCCAGTGAATGGCCATCTCTTGACTTATATAGGACATAGATGTTCTGCCCAGGCCAACCTCACACAATGGTGATGGCCATGCCAGTCACCCCTGCTACCATATCTTAATACATACTTTTTGACCAACGGGCTGTTCACTATCAGGTCAGGAAAATGGCAACCGAGTGACTGAACTATTAAAGGACTTCTGCGTGGGAACAAAGAGTATAACCAGCTCGCTGCCTAAAAGGGAGAAATATCTGTCACTTGTGTGGATGCTGGGACTACCATGGCCACCCATGAAAAGAATTTATATCATCTTTTTGGATATACACTCTGACCAAGGAACAGTCTGATAGTGGGATAGCACCCCTATCCGAGTAGGGCAGTAAGGACACCAAACACTGTTCTCCAGGGCCAGGGAAGCACAGACCTGAGTGCATGTCGGGAGACACTGGGCTTGGTGAGGGTAGAGGTGGATCAGGCAGCTGCTTGATTAGGCTGCACCTGTGAAATCCCAGTCACAATATTCTCAACCATTCTTTTTCCTTTCTCCCTTTAGAATGCACCTCCCAGGGGTGGATTGTGGTTTGGGCCTCCATAGTACCCCAGACAGGGCTTACGAAATCTAACCTGGAGCTGATGCTTCCGCTGTTAACTCCCCTATATGGAGTCTCATAGAGTAATGGATAGGACCAAGGAATACTACCATGCACAGGTCCCTCTATTGGCTCCAGGGACATCTGATCTTTCCAGTCAGGTGAGTGGTGTTTTCAGACATGTCAAGTTTTTACAGTGTGTTTCCTCCCTTTCTGGACTGGAAAACAGAGGCTGACAGGTCTAGGTTAAGCAACAAGGGCAGTGGATGCCAAAGAGATAGTAGCCTCTGGACTGGGCGCTACACCAACTGAGACCAACTCCTATCCAATAGGTAGGGAACATGAGATACTCCAGAAGGGGTGGGGGTGGGGCACCAACCTGTCATTCTATTTTCTCCACAAGGACATGGCAGCAGAGGCCTGGAAGCACAATGCCTTCTTTAGGTCCTCCCAAGCTGTGGTCACCATGGGTGATATGGGTTGGATCTGTGTCCCCACCAAATCTTATGTTGAAATGCAATCCCCAGTGTTGGAGGTGCCACCCAGTGGGAAGTGTTTGGGTGTTGGGGGAAGATCCCTCAAGGCTTGATGCTGGCCTCACGATAGTTAGTGAGTTCTCACAAGATCTGGTTGTTGTCAAGTGTGGCACCTCCCTCCACCCTCTCACTCCTGCTTTTGCCATGTGAAGTGTCTGCTCCCGCTTCAACTTCTGCCCTGAGTGAAAATTTCCTGAGGCCTCCCCAGAAGCAGATGTTGATGCCATGTTTCCTGTGAAACCTGCAGAATCATAAGCCAATTACATTTTTTTCTTGTAAGTTACCCAGTCTCAGGTATTCCTTCATAGTGATGCAGGAATGGCCTAATACAATGGGTCAACTGATGAACTGTTGGATCAGCCACCCTGTACCTTATTCTGTTGCAGACCACAGTGGCCCTCTCATCCTGCCATGAAAAGGAACCAGAGGTGCCCTGTTTCAGCTTAATTGACCTAAGGTGGCAAAATGTCATGACCACAATTAGTAAAACCTTGGTGGGCTAACAATTTAACACACTACTTTCTTTTTTTCTTTTTCTTTTTTTTTTTTTTAGACAGAGTCTAAAATCATGCCACTGCACCCAGGCTAGAGTGCAGTGGCATGATCTCAACTCACTGCAACCTCTGCCTCCTGGGTTCAGGCGATTCTCCTGCATAAGCCTCCCAAGTAGCTGGGATTACAGGCGCCCACCTGTATTTTTAGTAGAGATAGGGTTTCACCATGTTGGCCAGGCTGGTTTTGAACTCCTGACCTCTGGTGATCCACACACCTCAGCCTCCCAAAGCGCTGAGATTACAGGCATGAGCCACTGTGCCCGGCCTGACACACTACTTTTATTTGATTACACAAAAGATAAGTGTCCCAGTGGCAATGATGAAAACAAGGACTGCAATAATGCTAGCCCTTTCTGAAGGGACCTTATAAACAATAGTGTAGGGGTGAAACTGAGCTCATGCAACTATGACTTAGCTGCAAATGGCTGTGCCTCCATACCCATGAGTAGGCCACTGAACAATAAAACGGGATAAAGGGTGCTATGTACACCTGAGAGCTACATATTTCTTTATGGGCAGTCTGAAGGTGACACAAGAATGGGATGAGCAATGTCTGTGCCTGGAAATCTAGTGGATGGTGGGGTCCTGCATGCTGGGGGTGCCCCTATATACAACTCCTGGGAATGAGATTCATCACTGGGCCAGCAGACTAAAGCTGTACACCTGGCCAACTAGAGGTATATCAGAAGGTATAAGTGACTCTGGGTTTACATTATGAGATCTATAATAGCATGCATAGGAGTCAGCACTCCTAAATAAATGATCACAAGCCTGTCCCTGACCATGGCAGATGTTGCTTCCTTTCCTGCCACTGCTTTGGTAGCCCAGCAGACATCCTTCAACTCTCTTGGGAAGATTATTTTAGACAACAGAATCGCTCTAGACCACCTTTTAGCCCAACTGGGAAGAGTGTATGCAACTGCCAATAACTCCTGCTATACCTGGATAAACAACTCAGGTACTGCTGAAACGCAGATAGAGAAGATCTGATTGCAGACAGTGGGGCCACTGAAAGAATCTTCTCTGAGCCCTTTAGCAACTTCTAACCTCGATGCCAGGATCCCAGGCTAGGTTACTGCCCATGCAGGCCTGCTCGTCCTCCTTGTGGTATAGTCCCCTCGGGCATGGTGAAAAGTATTGTAGCTACGGTTTGCAGGTCACAAGAATAATGCAGAATGTGCTGGATCAGCTACATCTGGATATAGGGAGGGTCTGGTTGAAACAGACAGGGCTCTGTTCCAGTCCCCCCAAAACAGGAGGTCTTTCCGCACTGTAGCCCAGTATGTCATGCTGTCTCTGAGGTATAAAACCAGGGCGGGCTGCTTCCCTGTGAGCCTCAGCTGTGGTGCAAGTGGGGCACAGGCAGATGAGATGCTGTCCACCCTGGGGAAGTCCCTGAGCCTTGGGGGATCAGCTGGCAATGAATCCTGGACTTCTGTTGTCCCTTGCTGCCGATCTATAATAACAGGTGCACTTCATCTAACTCGTGTGTGGAGAGATGATCTGTCTCACTATACTCAGAAAAACTGGGAACCAGTATACATTGAGCCTGCTTCACAAGCACAATATTTACAGACTCATTAGTGCTCATAAAAGCTGGCAGCAGGATTTCGGGAGAGAGCTCCGCTGCAATCTGGAGTTTCATCTCTTGGGAAGTTATGGGTTCTTTGGGTGTTATGTGGTGCTCTTCTTGTTTATCACACATGCAGCATTTCATTACATGCAGATTGTGGGGGCCCCAGAAGGGAAAAGTCCCCATGGTGTGCTCCTTCCTCCATCCTGATACCAACCTACACATTTTCTAAACCTTAATGTCAGTCAAAAGGGAAGAGGTTAGCGAGGAGTGGGAAGGCTTCACATGGAAACAGTAAACATGAATGCTAAGATTAATTCTAGCACCTATTAGTAAGCTTAAAGCCTCCATTCTCCCATACATGTGGGGACATTTTTATATGGATACATACCTCCTACTCATTAGTACAAAATCCTTTGCACCAGCCAGTTACGGTGGCTCACGTCTGTAATCCCAGTACTTTGGGAGGTCGAAGCAAGCGGATCACCAGAGGTAGGAAGTTTGAGACCAGACTGACCAACATGGAGAAACCCCGTCTCTACTAAAACCACAAAATTAGCTGGGGGTGGTGGTGCATGCTTATAATCCCAGCTACTCGGGAGGCTGAGGCAGGAGAACAGCTTGAAACCCAGAGGCAGAAGTTGCAGTGAGCCAAGATCATGCCTTTGCACTCTACTCCAGCCTGGACAAGAGCGAAACTCCATCTAAAAAAAAAAAAATCCTTTGCACTAAGGACTTCAGAGCCACACTGGCTGAAAAGAGTCAATTTGCAAATCACATTTTCTACAGAACACTAAATAGGGTGTCTTCTACTCTTCTTATAGTACTTAAGGTTTAGTGCCCATTGGTTTGTGGTAATGGTCCCTCAAAGAACAACACACAGTCCTGTCCTTGGAACCACAGCTACAGTTGCATTCCCCCTTCTCATCTACATGGACCTGGGGCTCCATGATTGAAATCATCTGCTCTGGCTGCCTACCTCGGCATCCCTATCACACTTAGAAAGTCATTGAAGCCAATTCAGTGATTCCGTAAGTCCAGCCAGAGACTGTAACCAGGAAACAGAAGTGTTTCTTTATCAGCCCGCCCATGATTGCTTGCTGCTTACTTGCATGAATATAGGTCAAGACTAAATAGCAAAACAATCTGGTTCAACAGGTCAAGCATTCTGGAGGATTTGGGGCCACTTTTCCCATTCTTCAGACCCTAGAGGTTGGCTAACCCTCCACTCACTTCCCGCTGCCTTCATCCTGGCCAGTGCCAGTGCGCAGACGTGCCTCATTCCCCGATAGCCTTGAGTAGCCAGATGACAGAATTCTGGGCAACTAGAACAGTAATCTCTTGGTCAAATGTTTAGTGAGGCCGCAAGGAGATAATTCTGTGAACTTTTACTTTTCAGGAAATCTGGAAACCTACAGTCTCCATGCCTGATCAGCAAAGGAGCTCTCTGTGGGCACCAGAGACAGGGACCCAATGTGGAGACCTGCAAGCGTGTGTCTGGCCCTGAACTCTCAAGCACAGGACAGGGTTCCTGAGCATTGAAGAGAATATGTGGGAGAACAGAACAGAAACGGAAAGAATATGCGAGGTGTCTTTCTCGGTGTTATTCCGTGACAGATGATGACTGAAAGAGGCTGAGAAGATCTGGAGAGGGAGTCTGGAATGGTCAGGCTATGATTCAGAGAGGCGCATGAGAAGGAAGGTGGATTTTAAGGCTGGAAATCTGAGGGTCAGTGGTCCAAGTCACTTAGAGACAGAATCACAGCACAGCCCTTGCTGATGGCAAACAAAGGAGGACAAGAGGACTGAAAAGAATTCTGCTAACAGGCAGGAGCTAGTAAGGATGAGTTTGTAGCAAAATTAGCAAGTGGAGAGGATGATTTTTGGCGATTTTTCCTGTTCTTCAAGAAAACAGGAGATAACTAGAAGGACTGGAGAACAGGGTTGCCAGAACTAGTGGGAAGCCCCCGAGAAATGGTGACATCACCCACCAAACAGACTCCGCCAAGGCCACATCTGGCCTTATGTCTCCTTCACCTTTCTAGCCCCACACAGCCACCAGACAGCTATACCCAGCAGCTTCCCACAAAGCCATAGAGTGCCCAGAGTGAGCCCCAGCAGAAACACAAAAACATCAAGCAGGTACTGCTCATGCCAGGGCTGCTGGAAGACATAGGGCTTGAGGTGAGTCGCCCCCCCTGTCTGGAGGATGTGGTCAATCCAGCCCACCAGCCGCTGTGTGGGGCTGAGCGGGTGGGAGCGCAGGATGATGCTGGCAGCCACTGCTGCAGACTTGTACCTGTTGAGAGAGACAGAGAGCAGGCATTACTAATGTGACCTCACAAGAGTTAGAATGTGTGATCCGTTCTATATGATGCACGAAAGACTAAGTTTCAAGGAAATTTTGTTGGCTTTGCTGTAATTTATCTGGGTCCCCTTGAAATTTAATCATGACACCTACATGCAAAGATCTATGCATAATGCTGAAAGTCTTAAACTTCAAAAAAGTGACTAAGTCCACAAAGACTAGTGCCTACTCCAAGGAGGTTTATGATGTACCCTAGGAAAATTATATATGATGTAATTTTTACATATATACATGTAGCACCTCCATTGTGCCAGTCTCTAGATGGGGTGACAAATCTCACTGTAGGGAATGTCAGGCACAAGCTAAAGCCTACACATTCCTGCACCATCAGAACGTCATGTTGACCAGGGCTGACTTCCTGGGCTACAGGCTGCATATTTGTACCACATACTTAGTAGCATCCTGTACTTGGTTTCACCATGTTGAAGTTCTCAAACTTTATAATAGGAGGCTCCACATTTTTACTTTACACCATGTCCTACAAATTGTGAAGCTGGCCCTAGTTATGTACAATGTCTGAGGACCATCCCAGCTCAGAATGGTCATTTTGGGTCTAGGTCATTGAAAAATCCAGTGAAAGTTACAAACACATTTTTCAGAAAATGACCATCGGCAATACATGAAATTGCAAATATATACAACTGATCTGAAGTTAACCAACCCATGGAATTTAATGACTCTTTTAGGGCTAAGAACCATGAGCTATGTGGTTGTTTTAAGTCATCTAGCGAGAATTGCTGAGTGTCTCCTAATACATGTTAAGCCTTGAGGTCTGATTTTGGTTTGTGCCCTTGAAACTCCAATAAATTATTCAGTGCCTTTCACTTATTACATGAGGTGTATTTTTCTCTTCACATGAGATCACTGTGCTGGATATGTAGTTAGTTACCTTGGAGGTCACTGGGCCCCTTCTATTGCCTCACTTAACTAAAACTCATTAACCATTTACTTTGTGGCACACCATGTGCTAGGCACTAAGAAGACAGCAGAAAACAAGAGACACATGCTGCTGTCCTCATTAAGCTAACTCTCCAGTCTCTGGTTGGAAGGTGAGGGGGACAAATAATAAATGAAAACATAAGCCAGGCATGGTGGCTTATGTGATCCCAGCTACTCAGGAGGCTGAAGCGGGAGGATCATTTGAGCCCAGGAGTTTGAGACCAGCCTGGGCAACATAAAGAGACTCTGTAAACAAACACGTAAATAACTGAGGTAATTGCAGACCTTAAAAAGTGTTAAGAAGGAAATGATATAATGGGGGTGGGTGAGAGAAGAGGTTACTTAGGACTGTCGGAGGTGAACTCTAAGAAGAAACGGGTTGGAGATGAGACCGGAATGTGACGAAGGAGCCAGTATGTGAAGAGGCAGCACTACAAACAAAAGGCCAAGGGGGAGAAGAGTGTGGAGTATTTGGGGAATGGAAAGGCAATCTCCTGCCTCAATTGGAATCCCGCTGACCTGAGTTCCAATTGACCTGAAATACAGCTCACAGAGACCCTGTGCACATAGTCCAGGTTCTCCAAAATGAAAAGGTAGGAAATGATTCTTAACATCTAACTTAAATGCTCTAGTCTTGCTCTCAGAGGACACAGGTCAGCTGTTGGCATCACGCACATATTATCCCATGTCCCAGAAAATACAGTTTTAATCTAAAGTAAAACAAAGCAAAACCAAGGAAACAGACTCCCACAGTACCCTTAGTGTTTTTGCCTTCGTTCATCATTACGACCACAACCCCAGAGAGCTGCATACCTCTTGTCTTCCATGATTTGTTTCATCTTAAGAGCCAATGTCTCTGCCTTGAGCTTCTTTAACTGAATAGAGACACCAAAGTTTTTGGCTTCTACTCGGACCATGTTTTCAGGCTGGTCTCCAAAGAGAGGGATCCCCACCATGGGCACACCATGCTGAATGGCCTCCATTATGCTATTCTGTCCGCCATGGGTGACAAACAGACGGATGCTGGGGTGAGCTGTTGTAAATAAGAAAGAGAGTGGGACACTTCAGGATGAAAAATTCAAGATATCAGGCAAAGATGAAGGGGATAAGAAAGTGCCAAGTGGATCTAGCGGTGTGTTGGAGACATTGTATCTAATGACTGTGCTTGGGACACATCCAAGGTTACAGTGCCAAGATACAAGATTCCAAGCATTGTTATCAAATGGAAACATCTTCCCTCAGCCAGAAACTCAGCTAAGGCTTAGAATTGAGTGACTTCTGTAGACAAGAGTGTTAAGCAAGGCATCCATCTCTATCTGTCCATCCATTCTTCCTTCTCTCTGTCCTCCCTGTGCCTCTCTTTGCTTCTCTCATCTGTATTCTGTGTGTCTCTCTGTTTCTACCTCCTCTGTCTGTCTATATTGAGCCCTCTTTTATCCACTGACAGCTAATTCCCCTTTTCTTGTATTTCTGACATATTTGTTGACAGCACAACTCATGTGTCACTCATAAAACTTGTATTGACTGTATGGTGTCCTCAATTATATGAGAAGCCCCTTGAAAGTAGACTGGATCTTTCACCTCTGTATTTCCAGTTCCTGTCTTTCCATGCCAGCATTACTTAGAGCTAACTAAAGTGATTGTTGATAATGACAAGCACATCTCAACCTGAGTCACTCAACTGCAATGTGCATCAGACTCCTTGTCTCTTCTTTGAAATGGGAGGCATATGCCCAGCCCCAGAATTTTAAAATATATATTTACAGAAGTAGGACCAGGAATCTACTTCTTAAATTGCCCAGATTCTTTTGAGCCATAATCTTGGTTATGAATCTCTGCTCTAGTCAGTGTCTATGGCAACACTTGGCATGGAGAAAACCTGTTGGGGGTGAGGGAGCTCTCTAGTCCCAGATGATTCAGTAGACCAAATCACCAACTGTGAAGTTGCTAAGCCTGGCACACAGGTATGTTGGCACATCCTAAAGACATCATTGGCATTAATCTTGTGATGGTAGAAATTGCTCAGACCCTTAGTAAATGAAGAGGATGTGTCCACATTTATGTGTGGATGTGTGTTTGTGTAAGTCCCTGTGGCCAAACTGGTGCTCACAAAGTCACTAAAGCGAGTAGCAACTCTCCCAATCCCTGGTATATACATTCAGAGTTGATGGGTTGTCTTTAATTTTGTTTGGGTGACCTTATCCAAGACCAAACGCAGTAGGGTTAAAGAGACTTGAGAGGAATATCACATAGGACTGCAGACAACAGGTCTGGGATAGAAAAGAATGAAGGAAAGATGGCTGCTTTGACATCTGATCCCATTGGAAGTATAGCCTTGTTTCCCAAGAACTCCAACTGGCTGCTACTTTTCTGTCCACTGAGCCTCACCTGTGTCATTCAACAGTGGGTACAAATGTCCAGCTAAAGGTCAGAGCCCAGATGAGCCCCAAAGACAGGTCAGTGGAAGGAGAAGAGCAGTCCTGGGCAGCCCTTACCCAGGAGGTCACTCTGAGGAAGCCAGTCCACAATTTTCACATTTGCAGCCAGCTGGACTTCTTTGGGCCAATGAGAACACTGGCACTTCCATATCACCCCTTGGGGTAGGTAGGCAAAGGCATTGTTCATCTCCTTGAAGATTTCCGGATTCTGACAGGTGTTCACCATGGAGCCCAAGGTCACGAGGACAAAACCAGAGTTCCCAAACTTGGCAATGAAGTTCTCCAAGTCCTAGAGAAAGATTATCAAGGTAAAGAGGTGACAAAATTATTGGTGAAAGCCTAGTTGACCAGAAAATGAAAGCCAGATTATTTACTAACACAGTGCCCTGTCCTCACTGTCCCAAAGCTATTATTATAGCTCCTAGGATAGCGCAATACTAGCTGCACTGTGGTCACGTCCTTTGTGTTGGTGAGAACATCTTTCTTCTTGAAATTCTGACCCTACTATCAGGGCCTTTCTTGACCTTCCACCCATTATAGGCTCAGGGAGTCACAGGAGTTTTCCAGGGTCAGACTAGAGGTAATAGTATCTGGAAGAGTACTAGTAGGTGGCCAGGGTCCAACATGAGGAGTGGGATTTCTGGAGGCTGAAATGGAGAAGCTGGGAGAACACCTCCGTTGCAGGCAGAAATGGTGGCAGAATAGGGTAAGGCTCCTCTTCATCTACACAAAATGTACCATTTTAGTGTGTTTTCCTCTAATGTTTTATGATAGTCTCGGTCACTGATCTTTTTGTACATACTTCATCCTCTACCTCAGTAGTTCACCCACAGGACTGCAGATTATAACCACAGAGAAAGATTTTTTAAAAGCAGCAATGCTATAGGGAGGTGGAGCCAGATGGCAGAAGAGAACCCTGAAGTGATTGTGCCCCCCACAGGAATACCAAATTAACAGCTATCCACAAGAAAACACCTTCAAAAGAAGAAGAACAACAACAAAAATCAGGTGAGCAATCACCATTCCTGGTTTTAACATCATACCGAGGAAAGTGGCACTGAGAAGGTAGGAACGACAGTCTTCAATTACCATGTGGTGCAGAGAGAGAATCTGTGTGCTTAGGGGAGGCAGAGCACAGAGGCTATAGACTTTGCACTGGAAGTCAGTGCTCTGCAGTCACAGAGCAAAGCAGCACAGGGAAGAATTCAGCTGGCACCCATGCAGGGAGCATTTAGACCAGCCCTTGCTAGAAGGGAATCATCCACCTCAGCAGTAGGGACCTGAGTGCTGGTTAGACCAACCACCGCAGGCTAAAGTGCTCTGGGGTTCTAAATAAACTTGAAAGGCAATCTAGGCCACAGGAACTAAAATTCGTGGAGTGCACATGACCTGGTGAGACATCAGCCAGGGCAGCCAAAGGAGTGCTTGTGTCGCCCCTCCCCCAACTCCAGGCAGGGCAGCCCACAGCTCCAGGAGAGACTCCTTCCTTGAGAAGAGGAGAGAGAAGAGTGAAAAAGTCTTTGTCTTGCAATTTGGGTACTAGTTTAGCTGCAGTAAAATTAAGCATCAAGGAGAATCCTAACATCTCCACATCTAGGCCTTAGCGCCTGGACAACATTGCTAGACATGCCCTGGGTCAGATGAGTACCTACTGCCCTGAAGGGAGAGACCTAAGCCTGGCAGGATTCACCACCTGCTAATTCAAAAGCCCTTGGGCCTAAAATAAACATTAGCAGTAGCCAGGCAGTACTTCTCACAGGCCTGGGGTGGGGTGGCCACAGGTGAGACTCCTGCTTTAGGAAGGGAGGGAAGAGAGTAAGTAGATCCCTACAATTCCCAATTCCAGGACCCAGTTCCCAGACAGAATTCTTAGACCCAACCTGGGCCAGAAGGGAACCTGCTGCCCTAAAGGGAAAGGTATAGGCTTGGAAGAATTCACCACGTGTTGACTAAAGAGCTCTTGAGCCTTGAATAAACATCAGCAGTAACCAGGCAATAGTTATCATAGGTCTTGGACGAGGTCCAGTGCTGTGTTTGGTTTCAAGCATAATCCAGCACAATTTCAGTGGAGGTGGTCATGACAGTGTTTGTGTCACCACGCCCCCAACTCCAGGCAGCTTAGCACAGGGAGAGAGAGAACCTCTGTTGGTATATGGGAAAGTAAGAGAAGAGAATCAGAGACTCTGCCTGGTAATCCAAAGAATTCTCCTCGCTCTTACCTAAGACCACCAAGGTGGTATTTCTACAAGGCTGCAAGAGTCAGCATGTCTGGGCTTGGAGTGCCCCCTAATGCAGACACAGGTGCAGTGACCAAAGACTTAGATCACAACACTCAATTCCCTTTGAACACTTGGAAAGCTTTCTCAAGAAGGATAGGTACAAACAAGCTCAGACTGCAAAGATTAGAATAAATACTTAACTCTTCAATGCCCAGACATTGATGAACAAGTTACAAGCATCAAGACCATCCAGGAAAACATGTCTTCACCCAACGAACCAAATAAGGCACCAGCAACTAATCCTGGAGACACAGAAAAATGTGACCTTTCAGACAGGGAAATCAAAATAACCGTTTTGAGGAATCTCAGTGACATTCAAGATAACACAGAGAAGAAATTCAGAATCCTATCAGCTAAATTTAGCAAAGAGATTGAAAGAATTAAAAATTAAAAAGTAGAAATTCTGGAGTTGAAAATGCAATTGACATATTGAAGAATGCCTCAGAGTCTCTTAACAGAAGAACTGATCATGCAGAAGAAAGAATAAGGGAGCTTAGACAATATAATAAGATATAAATAGAAACAACAAAAACTTAGTGGACTGGGAGATAAAGTGTAGAATTTTTTTACTGTTCTTTTTTGCTTGTTTGTTTCTTTTTGCAATCAAAGTTAAGTTGTCATCAGTTTAAAATAACAGGTTATAAGATGTTACTTGCAAGCCTTGTAGTAACCTCAAATCACAAAACTTAAAACAGATACACAAAAAATAAAATTCAAGAAATTAAAACACACCACCAGAGAAAATAATTTTCACTAAAAGGAAGACAAGAAGAAAGGAAACAAGAAAGAGAAGATCACAAAACAACCAGAAAACAAATAACAAAATGGCAGGAGTAAGTCCTTACTTACAAATAATAACATTGAATGTAAACGGACTAAACTCTCCAATCAAAACAGAAAGAGTGACTGAATGGATAAAAAAAGAGACTTAACATGTTGCCTCCAAGAAACACACTGCCTATGAAAACACAGACTGAAAATAAAGGGATAGAAAAGATATTCCATGAAAGTGGAAACCAAGAAAAAAGAAGCAGTAGCTATACTTACATCAGATAAAAGAGATATCAAGATAAAACCATGAAAAGAGACAAAGAAGGATACTATATAATTTTATAAAGGTTGATTCAGCAAGCACATATAACAAGTATAAATATATAGGCACTGGAGCCCTCAGACATATAAAGCAAACATTATTAGAGGTAAAGAGAGAGACTCCAATACAATAATAGATGGAAAATGTAACACTTTCAGCATTGGACACAACATCCAGACAGAAAATCAACAAAGAAACATTGAACTTAATCTGCACTACAGATTAAGTGAACCTAATAATATTTGTAGAAATTTTCATCCAATGACTGCAAAAAAGACATTCTTCTCCTCAGCACATGGACCATGTTTAAGTGTAGACCATACATTAGGCCATAAAACAACTTTTATGAAATTCAAAAAACTGAAATTATATCAACTACTTTCTTAGACCACAATGGAATAAAACTATAAGTCAATAACAAGAGGAACTCTGGATATTATACAAATGCATGGAATAAAACAATATGCCCCTGAATGACCAGTAGGTCAATGAAGTAAGTAAGAAGGAAATTTAAAAATTTATTGAAACAAATGATAATGAAAACAAAACATACCAAAACCTATGAGATACAGTGAAAATAATACTAAGAGGAAATTTTATAGTTATAAGTGCCTACATCAAAAGAGTGAGACTTCAAATAAACCATCTAAGGATGCATCTTAAAGAATTGAAAAATCAAGAACAAACCAAACCCAAAATTAGTAGAAGAAAGAAAGATTATAGCAGAAATAAATGAAATTTAAAATTAAAAAATAAAAGATCAATGAAATGAAAAGTTCGGTTTTGAAAAGATAAGAAAATAGACAACCCTTTAGCCAAACTAAGAAAAGAGAGAAAACCCAAATAAAATCAGAGCTAAAGAAAAAAGACATTACAACTGATGCTACAGAAATTCAAAGGATCATTGGAAACATCCATGAGCAACTACATGACAATAAGGTGGAAAACCTGGAAGAAATGAATACGTTCCTAAACACATAAAACTTACCAAGATTATTCCATGAAGAAATCCTGAACCTGAACAGACCAATAACAAGTAACGAGACTGAAGTTGTAATAAAAAGTCTCCTAGCAAAGAAAAGCCTAGGACCCAATGGCATCAATGCTGAATTTTACCAAACATTTAAAGAACTAATACCAATCCTACTCAAACTATTCTAAAAACCATAGAAGAGAAGGGAATAAAAGGCCTGTATTACCTTTACACCAAAACCAGACAAATACACATCGGAAAAAGGAAACTACAGGCTAATATCTCTGATGAACATTAAGGCAAAAATCCTTGACAAAATATAGCAAACCAAAATCAACAACACGTTAAAAAGATCATTCATCATGACCAAGGGGGATTTATCCGAGGGATTCAAGGATTGTTCAACATATGCAAATCAATCAATGTGATTCATCATATCAACAGAATGAAGGAAAAAAACCATATGATCATATCAATTGATGCTGAAAAAGCATTCAATAAAATTCAAAGTCCCTTCATGATAAAAACCCTAAAAAAACTGAGTGTAGAAGAAACATACCTCAACACAATAAAAGCCATATATGACACACCCAAAGTTAGTATCACACTGAATGGGGAAAAACTGAACACCATTCTTCTAAGATGACAAGGATGCTCACTTTTACCACTGTTATTCAACATAGTATTGGAAGTTCTAGCTAGAGCAATCAGAAAAGAGAAAGAAACAAAGGGCAGTTAAATTGGAAAGGGAGAAGTTAAATTATGCTAGTTTGCAAATTATATAATCTTATATTTGGAAAAACCTAAAGACTCTACCAAAATAACTATTAGAACTGATCCACAAATTTAGTAAAGTTGCAGGACACAAAATCAATATATGTAAATCAGTGGCATTTCTATATACCAACAGTGAATAATCTGAAAAAGAAATCAAGAAAGTAATTTCATTTACAATGCCCACAAACAAAATAAAATACCTAGCAATGAAGTTAAACAAAGAAGTAAAAGATCTCTCCAGTGAAAACTATAAAGCATCAATGCAATTATTTGAAGAAGACATTTTAAAAACTGGAAAGCTATTCCACGTTAATGCACTGGAAGAATCAATATTGTTAAAATGTGCATACCACCCAAAGCAACCTACAGATTCAATTCAGTCTCTATAAAAATACCAATCACATCCTTCACAGAAGGAGGAAAAATAATCCTAAAATTTATATGGAACCACAAAAGACCCAGAATAGCCAATGCCATCCCAAGCAAAAAGAACAAAACTGGAAGAATCACATTACTTGATTTCAAGCTATACTACAAGACTATAGTAATCAAAACTGTATGGTACTGGCATAAAAAAAGACACATAGACCAACAGAACAGAATAGACAACCCAGTAATAAATCCATACATCTGCAGTGAACTTATTTTTGACAAGGGTGCCAAGAACATAAGGACAGTCTCTTCAATGAATGGTGCTAAAAAAAAACTAGATATGAATATGCAGAAGAATAAAACTAGACCCCTATATCTCATCATATACAAAAATCAAATCAAAATGGAATAAAAGACTTAAATCTAACACTTTGGGAGGCCGAGGCAGGTGGATCGCCTGAGGTCAGGAGTTCGAGACCAGCCCGGCCAACTTGGTGAAACCTCGTCTCTACTGAAAATACAAAAACTTAGGTGGGCGCCTGTAATCCCAGCTGCTCGGGAGGCTGAGGCAGGATAATCGCTTGAATCCAGGAGGCAGAGGTTGCAGTGAGCCAAGATCGCACCATTGCACTACAGCCTGGGCAACACGAGCAAAACTCAGTCTCCAAAAAAAAAAAAAAGAAAAGAAAAGAAAAGAAAAAGACTGAAATCTAAGACCTCAAGCTATTGAACTACTAAAAGAAAACATTGGGGAAATGCTCCAGGATGTTGATCTGGGCGCACTTCTTTTTCTTGCGTAATACAGGCAACCAAGGGGAAAATGGACAAATGAGATCACATCAAGTTAGAAGGCTTCTATATAACAAAGGAAACTATCAATAAAGCAAAGAGATAACCCACGGAATGGGAAAAAATATGTGCAAATTCTTCTTCTGACAAAGGATTAATAACCAGAATACATAAAAGCTCAAACAACTCTGTGAGAAAAAAAAAAATCTAATAACCTGATTAAAAAATAAAAGATCTGAATGGACATTTTTCAAAAGACATACAAATGACAAACAGGCATATAAAAGGTTTGCTCAACATCACTGATTACCGCAGAAATGCAAATCAAACTACAATGAGATATTATCTCACCCCAGTTAAAATGGCTGTCATCCAAAAGACAGGCAATAACAAGGATGTGGAGAAAGAAAACTTGCACACTGTTTGTGGGAATTTAAATCAGTACAAACACTATGGAAAGCAGTTTAGAGGTTCATCAGAAAACTAAAACTAGAACTGCCATATGATTCAGCAATCTCACTGCTAGGTATATACCCAAAAGAAAAGAAGTCAGTATACTGAAGAGATACCTGCACTTCCGTGTTTATTGCTGCACTATTCGCTGTAGCCAAGATACAGAATTAATCTAAATGTCCAACATCAGATGAATGGATAAAGAAAATATAGTATATGTACATAATGGAGAACTCATCAGCCACAAAAAGAAAGGGATCCTGTCATTTGCAACAATATGGATGAAACTAGAGTATGTTATGTTAAGTGAACTAAGCCGGACACAGAAAGACAAACCGCATGTTCTCACTCATTTGTGGGAGCTAAAAATTAAAGCAATTAAACTCATGGAGATAGAGAGTAGAATGACTGTTACCAGAGGCTGGGATGGGGAAGTGGTATAGTTAATGGTACAAAAATATAGTTAGAATGTATAAGGTCCAGTGTTTGATAGCACAACAGGGTGACTACAGTCAACAATAATTTATAGTACATTTTCAAGTATTTAAAAGAATATAATTGGGATGTTTGTAACATAAAGAAGTGATCAATGCCTTGATGTGGTGGATTTTAAAAAAAATAAATAAAGCAGTAATGCTCTGTCCCAAAAGCAGGCCTGGGCAGCTTGTATCATAAAGTCCCCCAGGTAGTTCTTAACAAAGTTAGTGTTGTGAAAGGAAAATAAATCTCATGATCCCCAAATCTAAGCCAAAGAGAAAAGTCAAGCTGGGAACTGCATCGGGCAAAATTGCCTCCCATTCCGTTCCTAAATAGGATAGCCACAGCCAAAAAGATTTAAAAAAAAAAAAAAAAAAAAAAAAAAGCGTATCCCCCTCACCATTTGCCCACAAGAAAATTCCTTGTGGACAAAGAGCAGACAGAACTCAAAAGCATCCGTCTGCTCGCCTGAGACAAATGTATTTTGGCTTGATTCCTCTGCCCTATTGTTTCACTAACCCAGACTAAGGTATAAGTGACTGTTTCTGTAAATTGTGCACTCAGTGAAAAGCTAATCAGAGACTTTTCAAAAAAAATGCAATTGTTTGTCTCTTGTCTACCTATGACCTAGAATCCCCCTCTCCTGCTTTTCCAGACCAAACCAATGTTTACCTTAAACATATTGATTGGTGTCTCATGTCTCCCTAAAATGTATAAAACCACCCTGTGCCCCAATCACCTTGGGCACATGTCGTCAGGACCTCCTGAAGCTGTCGTGGATGCATCCTCAACCTTGGCAAATAAAGTTTCTAAATTGGTGAGACCAGTGTCATATATTTTGGGCTCACAGTATCCAATGTCTTAATTTTGTGTTTAGCACAATTTTGTCAATTCTTACTTCCAAATATTTCTTTGAACTCTGTCTGATTCTCTCTGTCCTACAAGTGCTTACTCCACCTCCCAACCCATCATTCTATTACGTGGTTCAGACTCTACTGGATTCCAGCCAGCATACCACTTACCATTCCTAAGGACTTCTTTAAAACAGCCTTGTCATCATTTTTATAATTACAAGGCAACATAAGACCATTATATAAAAATTGGAAAATGCAGAGAAGAAACATTATTTTTTTTTTAGTATATGTTGTTTCACAGTCATTACAACCCTTATTCCCATTGTTATCCTCTTAACAACGTCCTCTCCCTACTCCATGGTGGAGGCCTGATCCACCCACCTGCTAGCTAAGGTTTCTGGTAAATCCCCACAGTTTTACTCATGCAATTGAATATTCCACTCCACTAGTGTAGCCAGCGCCACCCAGGGAACCCAGTCTTATTGCCATCTCAATTACATCTCCACATATTGGGACCCCTGCTCCCCAACCTGGGGTGCTTTCCCTCTCAGCTCCATTCCTAAAACTTCCTGCCACCAATGCAAAGCCCATATCACCTATAGATCATTCCCCACCTCTTCCTGCTCACTTAATGAAAGTTAGAAAAGTGGACACTTGGGTGGCTGGAAAGCTCAGGCCCTCAGGGCCTCTGAAATACATGGTGGTGGGAAGGTCACCTACATCACCTGAGCTTCTGTCCTCCTCCATTTATAAAAATGAAGATGATCACACCTCCATACAGATGGAAGGATATTAAATAAGATGACTTCTGTAAAATGGGAACCCAGTGCTCAGAGGCAACAGGCAGCCAACTCATTCCTAGCTCTCCTCCCTTAGAAAAATTTCTGTAGCAGAGTTGTGAAACTGTGCTGTGCATTCAAATCACCTGGGCAGCATTTGCAAATTACAGTAGCAGGGGTCCACCCCAGAGAAATCAAGTCAGAAGATCTGGGTGGAGCCAGGAGCCAGGGCTCTACAGGCAGGGAACACTGGATATACTACCCGCAGTTCTTGCTGTCGGTCCCATACAGACCCACTCTGCTTACTCCGAATCCATAGTGTTGTCATTTCACTGTGAGTATCTTATCTCCTTAACAATTATTGCATGTAATGGGCACTAACTACATGTTTATTGTACACATGATCATGCAAAATAAAAATGCAAACAAAAAATTGAAACTTTAATACAGGGCTTATTTTATCAAGGCTAGGACTAGGGTGTGGCAAGAGAGGAGCCAGAGGAACCCATACAAAGATGCCCTTGATCTCAGGATGGTGCAAGCCCTAACATTATACTTGCACAACCCTGAAACTCATCACTTCCTTTAAAAGCATGCCCTAGGTGCCTCCCTTGCCTATCCCTACTTCAGCCTCAGGATCCTACTGGCAGGTGGCAGCCATCAACTATGCACTGAAGGCCTCTGTGTGAATCCCAAACTGAATGCTGAGGGTCACTTACTTGTGGTACTGGTTTAATAGGTTTTTCCATCAAGCCTCCAACATAAACAGTGTTGGGAAGCAGAGGTCGAGCAAAATCAAAGGCAAAGTCAGAGTTAATGAACCACAACTCTGCTTTCAGTAGAAGATGAGACAAAACTGGCCTAGAGCCTTCTGGGAAATGCTCCTTGATGGCGTTGTCAAATGTAGACTGCATGTGCCATTGCCTCCTGCAGAAACTAAAGAACATCAGGAAATTCTTCACTCGGCCCCAGAAGTCCATGTGATCGGTCAGCAAGGAACGGAATACTGGAACATAAGACAAGGGGATTGGTAGCCCAAATTCCAAAGAGCCAAATGAGGTGGAAAGAATGGCCACAAATGGCTTACTGAGCTTCTCAGCAATCAAGAAAGGACAGTAGTCAAAAGTTTCAACTATCACCATGTCGAAGTTCTCATTCTTTAAGGAATCCATGATATCCTTTCTCCTTAAAAAATGACTGCACTGCAACGCCAAGTATTCTAGAACTTTTAATAAGTTTTCAAAATTTCCTCTGTAAGAAAAAAAATAAATAAATATTCATGGGAAGTGTTAAATTTACAGTACATAAAAGTATCTTGAGATACAAAGAAAATATCCCAGGGAAGCAACAACCTTTCTAGCAGTCACCCACAAATTCAACCAGTTTCCCACAAATGCCCTCTGCCATAATTATCCTGGCTTAAATGTTTCTACTCCCTAGAGTTACCCTTCTCCCTTCCCCTTTTCTACCCTTATCCAAACCCCAACCACCAGCAATGCCGACTCAAGGTCCTACTACTCTGGGAGCCATCTCTCAGAGCAGCAGATCTCAGAGTTCCGTCTCCTTGATAAATTAGGTGACACTCTATTTACCCCTCATTTACATACGGAGTGTTTATGAGTGATTTTCTTATTTATCCAACCAAATTGTGTAAGTAACTTGATGAAAGAGTTTATCAGTATTGATTATATGTGCTATGTTTTAGCACTGTGTGCTTGCATACGAGAGATTGCCTCAGTCTAGTTACTCTTTGATTATATTACAACCGAATATCTCAGCTGAAAATGAGAATTCCACCTTTTTATCCCTAGGAGTTAAGCAACGGAAAAAAATAAAAACAAAAGGAACCTGGTTTTTGAAACGCATTGCTTTTTCCTTTACTATTCTTTCTTTCTTTATTATTTACTTTTATTTATTTTCATTTTACATATTTTTATATATTTATTTACATATTCGTTTACTTATTTACATTATTATTTTCAATTATTTATTATTATTATTTCTTTCCACCTCAATGCAGACTGGGGTATTCAGGTAAGATAATGTCAAAGCTTTACTGACATATGCAAAGGGACGATTCTTTTGCAACATATTCCCAATAATGCCTGCATAGAATATGATCCTATTTTACAGAATTTGGGGGAAATAGATGAGGATGCCTAGGCCAGCTGCAATAAGTGCAAGAGCTCTAGATATCAGAGACCTACTGGCTGTATGGAAGACTGAGAGAATCAATTCCCTGACACACCTGTAACCTGTACACCACCGTACCATTGCCCTCCAGTTAGAGAAGGTCTCTCACTAGTGATATGCAGACTGACTGAAGTCATCCTCTGTTGTATATTTTTAAAGATTCATATAATAAAGGAAAAGTTGGCAAACATTTTTGAAAATTTCAGTAATGAACTGGGTGCAGTGGCTCATGCCTGTATCCCAGCACTTTGGGAGGTCGAGGAGGGTAGATCACCCGAGGTTAGGAGTTTGGGACCAGCCTGGCGAATATGGTGAAACCCCGTCACTACTAATAATACAAAACTTAGCTGGGCATGGTGGCACACTCCTGTAATCCCAGCTACTTGGGAGGCTGAGGCAGGAGAATCGCTTGAACCCTGGAGGCAGAGGTTGCAGTGAGCCGAGATCGCGCCATTGCACTCCAGCCGGGGCGACAAGAGCAAAACTCCATCTCAAAAAAAAAAAAAAGGCAGTCATGTAGTAAAAATTTTTAGACTGTAGTTCATTAATCGTATTTAAAATTAAGCTAATAAATTAAAATATTTTAAGAATGCACTCTTAACCATACCTGTCCTTTAAAATATGAAACTGGATAAGAAGAGACAAGGCATATGCTTAAAATATATAACTAACTCTGCAAGATGATATAGGCTAAGTGTCAAATGGGTGGATTAGATCAGACGTATAGAGGAGAGAATGTGGTGTTCCAGCTTGGGTGAGGAGGGAGGCTTTATGGAAGAAGTCAGATTTAAGCACTATGTTGACTATTGAGTAGAATTTTCAAGAAAACAAGAGTAGGTAAGGCCACTGCGATTAACCAAGATAGACATGGATTTCTGTGTTTCCTCTTTTATGTCTGAGATCAAAAAGTTATGTGTTTCTTCCCATCCAGATTAAGCAAAAGAAGTCAGTTTCATGTTTCATTTGTACCAGGTTGATTGCTTTTTTAAAGAACTTTGCATGACTGTATGTTCAACTTCTACAAACCCAATGTTCATAAGCCTTCCCTTTATTTATGAATATATGTGAGAAGAAGGGAAGACAGTAAGTGGGAAAAGGTGACTCTAATTTTCCCACCAACAATGAAAAGTGGAGGAGTCTATCCCAATTTCTGTGTCGGGGATATTACAGGCAATGATTGTAGGTGAAGTGTTGCAAGGAAGTCCCAGAAGAAACAATTTCCCACTTTCTGCAGAAAAGCACTCATGCTTATAGTGTAAGAAAGACGGTATAAAGAAGAATGTCCAGGGACTTTACTGGATGATGTAGTATGTAGTACTCATCTACTCCCCTTATCATCTGCCTCTCCATCTATCAATCCATCCATCCATTCGTCACTTTCTCTTATTAAAATAAAATCTCATTAAAATAAAATCCAAGTATCCATGCATCCATCCATTATTTGTATGATGAAAATAGTGACCCTTTGGTTCAAAGAATAAAAAAAAAAATTACCTGCCACCTAAAGTTTCTTCCAGAAAGAAATCAAAACTCTTCTTAAATTCTCTTTGATGATCTTCAGGTGCAAGCCAACTGATAACTTGATACGATTTTTCCTCCTTTTTAAAATCTAAGAAAACAGCAACGGGTTTAAAAAAAGTAAAATATGCTGCACAAAAGAGTAACATTAGCATAACAATATCGAAACTTATTTCACAAATTATGTACGTATTTGAATGATTGCTTCTTTAAGTATTTTTAAGGTATGCATTTATTTATTTTTGAGACAGAGTCTTGCTCTGTCATCTAGGCTGGAGTGCAATAGCACAATCCTAGCTCACTGCAGTCTCAGCTCCCTTACAAACCACTGGGATTACAGGTGTAAGCCATTGGTATAATTTGTATTTAAATACAGTACACATTTGTTTGATTCCAGAGTCTCTGTTCTTTCCGTTTTACAAAAACAATCATTTTTATTACTTAAAGTGATACATGCAAATAATTTTTAAATTCAGTCAAAAAGTACTAAAAGACTTCATTAAAAGAGTAGTCCCCTACATTCCAACTTGTCAGCTTGGCCCCTTCCTCATTACCCACGTGTAATAAGAAGTCTGACTCCATTTTCACTGTTTGCCTCTTGACAAATGTCAAGGCCCATTTCTCCTTCCCAACCTCATGCTTCATCTGAGCAAATTGGTAAGAAAACCCGCACATACCTTCTCTGTTATCCCTGGTAGGAGTTTCAATCCATGCAAGTCAGGACAGTGAAGGGAAATCCTCAGCTCATCCTACCTCTCCTCACAGTAAAAACTCAAGCCAGTCATCCCTCCCTGCTCTCTAAAGCCATTTTTCAGATTTGCCTGGGAGCCTGCCCTGCTATTCTGAAAAAAAGAAAAAGAAACTTCACCCTATGAGTCATAAACCTCTCATATCTTCTTAATACATGTGTGCCTTCATCACATCCAAATCAGATTTTGTGTGAGGACTGGGGTATATTAACACATAGTCCCACATATTAAGGTTCTCATACTCAACTTAATTGAAATGAAAGACTCTATCCAAGTATCTACTGGCAAATACTTTGCAGTCATAGACTTGGCTAGAATGTTCTCTTCCATGCTGATTTTTACAGCCTCTCAGCCACAGTGCGTCTTTACCTTGGAAGAAACACAATGCACGGCTACCCACAGTGTACTTCAACAGCCCTACTATTGCCCACAATCTTTGCCAGCAAGAGCCACTGCTTCCAGCTTTCTCCAGGAGTACAGATATAACATTACATTGAAAGTGTCCTCCTCTGAGGAGATTCATTCGCCACACTCATTTAAGACACAGAAACATTCAAAAAGGAGCTCATAAAGGGGATAAGCCATTGTCCCATGCAGAGTATCAGACCCAGTCCCTCACTTAAACTCCAAAGGATCATTTGGTTAGTTGACGGCCTCTCCATCCCCAATACTACTAAAAAAACAACTATCGAGCCTCCCTGTGTCCATAGTGTTACAAGCCCAACATCTTTTAGGCCTTTTTGCATTTTAAAGACAACATATTCCTTATTTATAAATTTTACTCAGGTCCACTCATGTTTATTACTTGAAAATCAGCCCACATTGCATAGGATCCCCTGTAACAGAAGGCTCCAGAATCTATCCAAGTTGCAGTACAGCAGGCTCTCTCATTAGTGCCCCCCAGGAACACCTGCAATGTAAAGGTGTTAACATCCTCCTTTCATGCCTCCTGGAGTTCTTCTGAGCACCTATCATGGCCGTTTCAGTTTCCTATTGCTGCTTTAACAAACTACAACAAACTTAGTGGCTTAAAATGACACAAAGTATTATCCCATAGTTCTGGAGATCAGAAGTCCAAAATGGATCTCATTAAAATAAAATCAAGGTGTGGGTGAGCTGCATTTCTTCTGAAGGCTCTAGGGAACAATCCTTTTTCTTGTCCTTTCCAGCTTCTGAAGGCTACCCGCATCCCTGGCTCATAGCCCCCTTCCAACAGGCAATCACATCGCTCTAATTTCTTCTTCCATCATTAATTCTTTAACTCTCCTACGATCTTCTCTCCTTTATAACAGGGGTGTCAAATCTTTTGGCTTCCCTGGGCCACATTGGAAGAAGAAGAATTGTCTTGGGCCACACATAAAATACACTAATACTAACGATAGCTAATGAGCTAAAAAAAAAATTGCAAAAACAATCTCATAATGTTTTTAAAAAGTTTACGAATACGTGTTGGGCCACATTCAAAGCTGTCCTAGGCCACATGCAGCTGGTGGGCCACCAGTTGGACAAGCTTGCCTTATAAGAACTCTTGTAATTACATTGGACTCACCTGGGTAATCCATGATAATCTCCCTGTCTCAAAATCCTTATATTAATCATATCTGCAAAGATCCTTTTGCCATGTAAAATAGCACACTCATAATTATAGGAATTTGAACACATATATCTTTGCGGGGTGGGGGGAGTGGCATTATTTGCCCACCGCAGTGTGTTCTCTAGATCCCAGACATTCATATACATCCCTCATGGAATGAAAATGTATTCATCCTGTCCCAACATCCCCCAAAGTCTCAAACAATTATATCATCAATTCAAAGTGAAAAACCTCATCTAAAGCTCATCAGCTCAGAATTCCCAAATCACATCATCCAAATAATCTACAGCAAGCGTGGGTGAGAGTCTGGGTGTAATCCATTCAGTGAAACATTGCTCTCCTTCTGTAGATCTATGAAACTAGGAAAAAATGACCTGCTCCCCAAAACCAAGAGTGGGACAGGCATAGGATACCAGTTATAGACATTATTCTAATGGGGGCAAAAAGGAAGTAAAAAAAAAAAAAAATGAGGTGCCAGTCCCAAGACATTTGACTACAACTGGGCAAACAAAATTAGGTTTTAAGGACTGGGAATAATCCTGTGGTTTGGCTCAGCCTTCTGGGCTAGAAGCTCTGCCATCTGGGCTCATTGCTTCACCTTCAGAGTTATCCTTTGTTTTTCATGAAGCGTTGCATGTGGTTACAGCTGAGTGGTTTGTCAGTTTAATTCCTACTTGCAGATTGGGGAGCTCCCCAGCCCTCCTTCCTGTCATATTCTCCTCATACCTTTGAATCCAAATTGGCAGTGCTTCTGAAGGTATAAAATTCTTGGGTACCGGGAGGCTGAGGCAGGAGAATTGCTTAAACCCGGGAGGCGGAGGTTGCAGTGAGCTAAGATCACGCCATGACACTCTAGCCTGGGCAACAACAGCGAGACTTAGTCTCAAAAAAACAAAATTCTTGGGTACCTTGTGACCCTCCTGGGTGTGTCATAGGAATTCACTCCGCTAGAAGAGAAGCTGCTCCACAGACTTGTTTTGTTTTGTTTTTGTTTTTTAGACAGTCTCGTTCTGTCACCCAGGCTTGAGTCCAGTGGCACAATCTCGGCTCACTGCAACCTCTGCCTCCCAGGTTCAAACAATTCATGTGTCTCGGCCCTCTTTGTAGCTGGGAATACAGGCACGAGTCACCATGCCTGGTTGATTTTTGTATTTTAGTAGAGACAGGGTTGCACCATGTTGGCCAGGTTGGTCTGGAACTCCTGACCTCAGGTGATCCGCCTGACCTCCCAATGTGCTGGGATTACAGGTGTGAGTCACCGTGCCCGGCCTAGGATCCACTGCCTTTTAGAACAGCAAGACCACCAGCTAGTGTCTAGATGTTCACCTCATCATCCTTTTAATATGTTGCCTCTGTAATGTGGACCATTAAAATCTTTTATCTGGCTGGCTGGCTTGTAGGAATACCTTGTCAATTATTTTACTCATTTACTTCTTTTTGTTTATCCTCAACTCAGTGTGCTTCCTCTGTACCTTGCTGATCTAAGTAGCAATAATACTTTACTTCTATTCCTTTTCCTTTTGATTTCAACCTGTTTCTTTTGAACAAGAATAAATATCCTTTCAGGGACATTTTCTCACTCCTTTTCACCAGGTCTGTGAGATAGTCATGAGCCTCTATTTATGTTTATTTGCAGAAATTGATATTTTATTTTATTTGTAGACTAGTCATTATCTTGTCCTACCCATCTTTTCCTTTGTTTGATTCATTCCCTTTTCCTCTGTTTCATTTCCTTTCATATCCTAGGATTACAGGCATGAGCCACCATGCCCAGTCTCCACATATCTTTACGAGATAGTTTCATCCACATATCGTTATGAGATAGTTTCATCTTGATTGGTGGCTTCTGCCATTATGGGTGAAGGAATCCATGAGACAGACACCTAATTGCAGGACAGTTCTCAGGGTGGCCTTGGGCTGACCCTGTTTTCCTCTCTGCTTGTCACTTGCAGTTATCGAGAATAACTGTACAATGAGCTGGGAATGTAACACTCTGAGATAGAGAGGCACTGGGTGGAATAGCCCAGGCTTTGTTACAGTCTCCACTAGAAACAGGATACCCTTCAACACTTAGCTTAGCACATCATGTTTCTCCAGGGTATAAAACCCAAGGTGGTCTGCACTTCGTGGTCCTTTATCTGCATTGCAAGTGGGGCATGTACAGTTGAGACTCCATTCATCCCAGGCAGCTTTCTGAGCCTTGGAGGACCAGCTCACAGTGAATTTTAGGTTTCAGTTGCTGTCCGCATGTAGGTAGTAAATCCACTTCATGGAATTTGTTGCGTTATGTGGGTGTTCTTTCTTAGCAGACTCAGGCAAGTTGGTAACCAGTGCACACCAAACCTGCTTCATGCTAATCTCTTCAATGAGCTTTCTGTGTGACTGAATACTCTGACCGTTTAATCCTTCAGAGGCAATAGCAAAAGGCTGTCCAGACATACAATTGGCTTTCTCTACAAGACAACAGGATACACTGCTTTCCTGACGTTTGAATTCCCTAATTTTTAAATATTCTCCATCCTAATAGGCTGAGAATTTCCAAAACCATAAAGTCCTCGTTTTCTGCCTCATAGTTATTTTCTCAATTTATCTTTCCTCTCACATTTTACTATAGACAGTAAGAACACTTGAACATCTACATTTCTACAAAAAGTCTGTGTATGATGATTTATAGTCTCTAAGACAATACAGATTTTCTCTATCATGTTCCTTCCTTCCTTCTGAGCAGAGTTCTTAGAATTCCCAGTC